CCAGTGAAGCGACGTCCTCCACAACTAGACTGAAGAACAAAAGTACAGCTACTTGTCTGTTCCCCTCCCCCAACTTCCCAACGCTGTCCCATCCCCCAATTCCCCAATAAAAATCTTTAAAAAAAAAATTAAATATACATAGACCATATAATTCAGACATTGCACTCCTAGGTCTATGTCTAAGAGAAATTAACACAGATGTCCACACAAAGACTTATATATGAATGTTTATAGCAGTTTCATTTGTAATAGCCCCAAACTGGAAGCAACAGGTGAACGGATAAACAAATTATTGTATGTCCAAACAATGGAATATTACTCAACAATAAAAAGGAATTAAACTAATGATACACACAATGTGGACAAATCTCAAGATAGTTATGCTGAGGAAAAGAAGCCAGACAAAAAGATATGATTCTGTTTATATAAAGTTCTATAAAGTGCAAACTAACCCATAATGAAAGCAGATCAGAGATTGAGGAAGGGAGAGAGAAATGAGAGAGCAAGAGATTGGACAGGGGCCTGAGGAAACTTTTGGGGGCATTGATGTACGCGTATGTTCACTATTTTGTGGTGATGTACACCACACATCAAAACATAAAATTATTCACTTGGAATGCATGTAATCAACTGTATGCCAATCATACCTCAATAAAGCTGTTTTAAAAATTGTGATAAGGGGCCAGCCGAGTGGCGCGTTGGTTAAGAACTGGCTTGGGATGCCAGAGGGCCCTGGTTCGGATCCGACGTATGAGGGCCAGTGACACTGCCCTCTACAGCTAAGATGCTGAACAACAGCTAGACCTGGAGCTGGGCTGCTGTGGGTCGCCGGCGACGGCGTAGGCTGCAGTCCCCTGCTGCAGTGGGTTGCCATAAGCTACAGTGGGTTGCCATAAGCTACCATGTGTAGCCAGCAGCCACCGTGAGCGGCCGTCCAGAAGCCGGCGACTGATCTGCCTCACCCGGGAAGAGCGCAATGATGGTGCCAACTTGGGCCAGTGAAGCAACGT